CCCGCTCCGCAAGCCGATCAGAGCCGTCCTGTGTCCATACACGCCGAGTATATAAGCGGGTCCTCTTGACATATGCTAATCGAGTCCTTTCAAGCGCGCTGGGGAGGTTCTGTTTGAAATCTTAAACCGGCCTCCTCTCAACACGTTTTAGCTCTTCGGAAGTGACCAAAGGGGGCCCTGGACGCTTCTCTGTCCGTGCAGTCGCAAAAAGCATTCCCACACGTGGCCAGAGCCGGCCAGCAGCTTCGGGGAGGCGCAGTCAAGGCCCCTCTTTGGGGCTGGCTGTCTTAGGAACAACCTTGATGCGGCTCCGCCGCTGCTGTGCAACGGCCTTTGATGTGCGCTCCTCTGCAGTGATAGATGGCTGCTAAAAGGAGCCCAGCTTGGCAGGTATATAGGAGAAGGGGAAGTGGGGCGGGAGGGGAGGCCGGGAGGGGGAGGGGGAGCAGAGGGAAAGGAGAGGAGAGGAGGAGAATTGGACTCCTCCGGAGCTGCTGGGAGAGCCTGCAGTGGACAGGTGCAAAGAAAGGTAAGAGAGGGAAAAGGGAAAAAGGGCGTTACCTGAGGCTTAGACCTGCCCAGACACACATGAAAGGAGAATCAAAGCTTTGACAGTTTAACTCGCTAATTTTAAAACACTAATAAAATGTACAAGCATTACTCTTTTCTTTTATCATTTAGATGGGGGATTTTCTTTACATAATCAGGGTTAGGTTAGAAACACACGGGCTCCCCCTTCCCAGGCCCTCTTTAATGTGAATCGTTACTCAGCACATGATATAACCAAGATTGTCTTATAGCTACCTAGAAGTTTTACATTGTGTGCTAAGGTCATGAACTGTTAATCAATATAATATCATAATAAATCCTGAGTCTAGGGATTATGAGTAAAACCAAGTAGGCGGGAAAGAGGTAGCGTTCATCCTTATATTTGCCACGAATAGAAAATGAGTATCTGTAATAGTGTCATAAGTGATGAGTCGCCTCCCAGGACCTTCCTAACCCAAGAGCACACCCCTTTCTTCTTGGTTGCGTTTTCTTTAGGGTTAGATTTTTGGTTTGCTTTTAATTACAAAAACAGTGTTGATTCTTGACGTGTTTTTGAGATATGAAAAGTTACTGGCAAAAAAAATGAAAGAATGCCTGTATGTATTTATTAAATTAAAAATCATTGAAGTGAAGGAGTTGGATACATCTCCATTTGAACTTATAAACTCTGGGTTTGGACCACAAGATGTTTCCATTACTATTTTTTCAGTGGTAGAAGCATTGAGAATCCATCTTTTGGGAGATTTATGCTTCCCCTGAGCAAAAAGTTTTAGGGAATCACTAAAGATTAGTTTTCCAGTCTAGTTTCATAGTCTTTTCAGCAAAAGCCTAAACCGGGGAGCGCAAGTGGATGGGGACGCTTTGTTTTATTTGATCTAAAGGGTTGGGGGCTTTTTGCTAATTAATTGGCAGGTGCTTTAAAGTAGGTAAAGTTACACCTTTTCATCACTATGGCCCTAAGTACTGACCCTTGTGCCACCAAGTTATAAAAGAGTCCTTAAAACAAGTGATTTACTGTTGATAGATATGAAATAAAACAAAAACACTGGCTAAAAACAATAAACAGATAAATCACTTTAGAAATGTATACTGCCAAGTCTGTTTTAAAGGTTGTACCAGGTAAATGTCATATTATTTTACCTTTCAAACAACAGCAGTCTGTCTTGTGGTAGGACCCCCAAATCCACCATAATCAAGATTTCAAAGGACATCTGTGTAAACATTATCACATCAGTGTAAAACACCAACCAATGAGCTTTTACTTTGAACCAAATCTTCTTAATTGCAGTGTTAAATCAAAGAAAGTTAGATCAAAGTTGTGTGAATCTCATAGGGGGATAACTAAAATAGCCAGTACATACATCGAACACTTTTAAAGAAGAGATACTTAAAGGTTTAAAACAAAGATCAAGTACCTTTTAATGAGGTTTGTTTTAAGGTCTAGGTTCTGCACAACATATAATACTATTAATTATTCCACGATGGATATATAACATCGTCACCTGTTCCTTGAGTACTAGTTTGGTAAAAAATGAAATATTTTAATTCTATAAAACATTTTCCTCACACTTTGAGTCTTGCTGTGGGAGTTATAGCTCTAAGACTGCTTAAGTCTTTTATATTATTTACATATGCAAAAATATGGGGACATTTTATACATAGTCACCAAAACCCAAATGCTTTAATAATAGAACTACCTTCTCTTTGTGCAGAGTTGGCATTTTCCAGTGCATTGTCTTACTAGTATTTGATCACCACAATAATCCTATGAGATAGGCACATTCCACATTATAAGGGGAAAAAAATTCTCCCGGATTCTAGTTCAGGGTTTAGTCCTACATCCCAGGGCAATGACCTTAAGCTCTCTGAAGGCCTGTTGTCTCTTTTGTACAATAAGAACAATATAACTCCTGCCTAGTTCACTACATCTAGGATTGCTATGAGATTTAAATGTGAACTATTTAGGAAAATGTTTTTAAAACTATGAAATTTTCCATGCATACAAGATGCTAGATACCTCCAGTTGTTGGGGGGAAATCTGCTTTATAATTTAACAAATGCAATTCATTTGAAATACAAAATAAATATTTTTCCCCCAACCAAACCTGTAATGTGTAAGTTTTGAATGGTGCTTAATGCCATTTTATAAAGGGCCAGAATAGAAACAAAAAGATAAGGATTTCTTTTGTTTGCACTAGTCATGTGACAGGAAAAGATAACACTAAAGATTTTTTTGCACATGCTGTGATGATATCATGGGAAGTTAAATAATTTTGAAGAGTGTTTTACAAGAGTGCATTATTCAACTTTTAAGTATACACTGCAATCTAATCAACTCTACCTATACTTCCTAGAGACCACACTTGCCTTGCTGTTCTACAAATATGTGGTACAATTTCTACTTCCACAAATGTAGTTACAGTTTTCCAGACCATAGAATTTCCTGCTAGCTTTTCAGCAAGCATATTGCCGTGAATTTTTGTTTTACACATGAAAAAAAATGGTTTTTTGATACTTCTACATGTGTTTAACTTAAGAAAAAGAAAAAGCTCATTTAAAAGTCACGACTTTTACCCCCATAAAATAAAAGTACACTGGCTCACATTGTTTTTATTTGTAATTACAAAATATTGGCAACAACATTAATTTCCTTGCATAGGAAACTGATTGAGTACGTTATGATATTTTCACACAGTAGAGCATTATACAGCCTGGAAAAATTGACAAAGATGGCTCTAAACTAATATGGAGCATTTCCAGGATATATTATTAAGTGAAAAGAGCAAAGCTTTAGCATACTTTATGTACAGTGTGTTACCTTTTCTATAAGAAAGAATGAAAGTAATAAACTTCTACCTGTGTGTGTTCATTTTTTCCCCAAAAATAAACATAAATGGATAAACCAGAAACTAATTGGTTAATTGACTACCTGGGTGAACGTGAGAAGAAAAAGGAAAGTGACACTTCTTTGAGAACAACTTTTTATAGAGTTTTGACTTTTCGAGAAATGGAAAGGTTATAATTTTTTTTAAGTAGAATAAAATAAACAAGAATGAGGGGAAAATGGAATGGGGCCAGAAACAAATGAACCTAACTGAATTCAAATAAATAACATAACCACACAGAACATAATAATAATATATATATTTTTAAAAACTAAGTAACTTTCAAATACAGTTCTTTGGCTATATAATTAAGGTCTAAAGAGAAAAACAAACATAAACAAACATTGAATTTCAGTTACAAAGACTGATTTCCCCAGTGGTAGGGGTTAGACTAGTATATTGTAAGATTGAGCAAATAATCACATACATTGACAATAATGAAAGCTAGGTGTTTCAGTTTTAAAGAATGGAGCTATAGACATGAAAACAGGGAAGATTAGAATGAATCTTATAGTATGAATTGAAAATGCAGTTATTGGTATGAACACATAGCTGTGTGTGTGTGTGTGTGTGTGTGTGTGTTGTGTGTGTGTGTGTGTGTTTCATCTTAGTTCTGTCCACTAAAGGGGCCTAGCATCAAGGATACACCACAGACAGTTGAGCACACCTAGTGTCTAGATCTTTAGTTTCTCAATTCAATCTACCATTAATATGACCCATAATTCCTGGAAAATATCTGGTTTCAGGACTGGAGCACCTTTTTCTTTTTAAGACTATTTTTAAGAACAGTTTTAAGTTCACAGCAAATAAGAGGATACACACTTGCATAGCTTCCCCATCCCCTACCAGGGTGGTACATTTGTCACAATTGATGAACCTACATTGACACATCATCACCCAAAGTCCATAGTTTACATGGGTTAACTCTTAGTGTTGTACAGTCTAGGAGTTGTGACAAATGTATAATGATATGTGTCCATCATTATAGTATTCTTTCACTGCCTTGAAATCCTCTGTGTTCTGCCTATTCATCCTTCCCCCCACCAAGCTCATGGCACCACTTATCTCTTTACTGTCTCCATAGTTTTGTCTTTTCCAGAATGTCACATAGTTGGAATCATACAGTACATTCTCTTCTTTCACTTAGCAATATGCATTTAACTTTTCTCCATGTCTTTTCATAGCTTAATAACTAATTATGTTTTAGCACTCAATACTATTCTATTGTCCAGATGTACCACAGATTACTTATTCACCTGCTGAAGGACATATTGGTTGCTTCCAAGTTTTAGTAATTATTAATAAAACTATAAATTTCCATGTGCAGGTTTTTGTGTAAAAAACCGTTGGGTAAATACCAAGCAGTGTGATTGCTGGATTGTATGGCAAGAGTATGTTTAGTTTTGCAATAAACTGCCAAATTATCTTCGAAAGTGGTTGTTCCATTTGCATTCTGACCAGCAATGAATGAGAGTTCCCATTGCTCCACAACCTCACCATTATTTGGTGGTGTGGATTTGGGTGGTGTGTTTTGGATGTTGACCATACTAATATGTGTGGAGTAGTATCTCGTTTTAATGTGTGATTCCCTAGTGACATATGATGTGGGGCATCTTTTCACACGTTTATTTGCCATCTAGATATCTTCTTTGATGAAGCAGTTCTAAAGCTCTTTGACCCATCTTTTAATTTGGGTAGTTTGCTTTCTTTTTGTTGAATTTTGAGTTATTGGTATAGTTTGGATAACAGTCCTTTATTAAATGTGTTTTTTGCAAATATTTTTCCCCAATCTGTGGCTTGTCTTTTCATTCTCTTGACTTTGGCAGAGCAGAAGGTTTTAATATTAATGAATTCTAGCTTAGCAAATTATATACAGGGCGAGGCAAAAGTAGGTTTGCAGTTATCAGTACATGAAACAGAGTTTATTCTTGTATTATTTATTTATTATTGTATTTTTTTCAATATGAACAACTGTAAACCTACTTTTGCCCCACCCTGTATTTCATGGATCATGTCTTTGGTGCTATATCTAAAAAGTCATCACCATGTCCAAAGTCATTTAGGTTTTCTCCCATGTTATCTTCTAGGAGTTTTATAATTTTGTATCTCACATTTAGGTGTATGTTTCATTTTGAGTTAATTTTTGTGAACATGTAAGATCTGTATCTATATTCATTTTTTGGTATGTGGATGTCCTATTATTCCAGCACCATTTATTGAAAAAGTATCCCATTGTTGCTCCATTGACCTTTGATCCTTTGTCAATAATCAGTTGACTATATTTATATGGATCTATGTCTAGGATCTCTATTCTCTTCCATTGGTTTATTTGTCTATTCTTTCACCAGTACCACAGTATCTTGATGCCATAGCTTTATCGTAAGTCTTATGGTCAAGTATTGTCAGTCCTCCAACTTTATTCTTCTCATTCAGTATTGTACTGGCTAGTCTGGGCTTTTTTTAAAAATATATTTTTTTATTGATTTCAGAGGAGGAAGGGAGGGGGAGGGACAGACAGAAACATCAATGATGAGAGAGAATCATTGATTAACTGCCTCTTGCACGCCCCCTACTGGGGATCGAGCCTGCAACCCAAGCATGTGCCCTGACCAGGAATTGAACCGTGACCTCCTGGTTCATAGATCGATGCTTAACCACTGAGCCACGCCAGCTAGTCTGGGTCTTTTGCCCCTCCATATAAACTTTAGACTCAGTTTCTCCATTGCCATAAATAACTTTAATCAAAATAATAATAGGAGCAAGATATTCATAGAATAAAATAATAAACTATGAGTGCAACTGTTCAAATAAATAAACAACCAATCAAACATAAAAACAGTAAAGGAGAAGAGAACACTTTTCCTTATGGTAGATTCCTACTAATAAATACTGAAAGAATGATGGAATTACGAAATGATGATTTTGCATCTATGATATAATCATAGCTAATCCAGCAAAGTCATTAATGCATGCTAAAACTATAAAACAAAAAAATAAAATAAATAAGAAAAAAGAAATAAAATAAAATGAATGGGTTAAAGTTTGATGAAGAAGAGCTATTTATAGTATCCAACATTCCCTCCAAATTATTTCTTAATCACCAAGAGAAAATTATAACTTTACAGTGAATTAAATCTAGCAAATACTATCTTAACCAAATAATAAAAGTAAACAACAATAATGGGACAAACCCTGTGCCTCTTGATATCCTAGGAAGGATGCAATGTCAATTTTGTGTGTGTTCCTGTCCAAAATGCATAACCTGAATCTAATCACGAAAAATCATCAGCAAACCCCAACTGAAGGACATTCATCAAAACAACTTGCCTATAGTCTCACAAACTGTCAAAATCAAGAAAGACAAAAAAAGAAAAAAAGTTAAGGAACTGTTCTGGGTTAAAAGAAACTTAGACATAAAAACTAAAGGTGATGCATGATTCTGGCCTGAAGCCTGAACCAGAAAAATATAAACCGTGTAAGAGACGGTTATTGAAACAAGTGACAAAATTTTAATATAGACTCTGAATTAAATAATAGTATTGTATCTATGTTAAATTTCCTAACTTAAACCATTTTACCATGAATATATAAGGAAAAGTCTTAGGAAATACAAAATAAAAATGTTTGGGTAAAGAGGCATGATTTCTATTAAATTATTCTCAAATGGCTCAAAAAAATGTATACACAGCTATATATAGAAAAAGAGAGGATAGATGATAAAGCAGATGGGGTGAGATGTTACCAATTGAAGAATGTGCTGGAAGGGTATGTGGAGTTCTTTGTACTATTCTTATAATTTTTCTGTAAGTATAAAATTATATCAAAATAAAAATTTTAATATGAAATTTTAAAGGTCACAACTTAGATATTAGAAATACTTTAATTATAGGAGACAAAATCTAAATGCAACAGTTATAATATAAGATAATTGAGATAGATCAGAATTCCAGAATTTGAACTATGCATTTGCATAGGAGAGTTCCAGTATGCTCGAATCCCAAACCTGGACCAGAACAAGTTGTATATCCTCTGTGGATCATATTGAACACATGTGGAAAAATGAATATTAATTGACCATAAAGACATATAAATTGGGGGACCAAAATCAGGCAGAATGAAAATTTGACACAAATTGAATATAGTTGTTATTACCTTCTTATTTCAAGAATGTCAACTACTCTAATGCAGTCCTTCTCCTCACTTTACCCACCACCAAGAGCAAGAAGAGTAATAACACAGTTTGATTTTTGCCTTGTATTGTTTTCTTTCCTTGTTCATCTTACTAGATACAAGCAAGGTATCGCCACACAGTAGGTATGAGACCTTGGGAAAACTACATTACCTCCTCGGAGTTCAGTTTTTCCTGTATAAAACTGGGATGAAGTAGTATTTGTATCCAACCTGCTGAAGTGTTGTAGGAATCATATGACTAAATATCTATGAAAATCCTTTAGTGCTATAGCATCTAAGATATTATTTCAGTGACAATAATCATTATCAATTTTCTCTGGGTTTTAGGCCACTTAAAATTCCACTCGCGCTGGAGTGAGAAATGTTAGTTCATGGAATTCAAGTAATGC